CAGGTATACTCGTGCAACTTTTTTCCGTTCAGGGGGTAAAATGCAAAAACGTCCAAAGTTTAGGGAATTTTTTGCAGTTAACCCTTCCAAATATTACGATTTTTACTTTGCAGATATTTTTGTAGTCGGAGTTGGAATATGTTTGAAATTCCGATCGATATGCCACCATATGGTAGCACATATAAAATTTGATGATTAAAACCCAAATCAATTAGCTCAAGTGGCCCAGCAAGCCTAATTAGGTCCAAGTAAAAATTATTGCTTCCAGAAATTGCTTAATTCCACTTTGCACTCTTGCAATATAGCAGTTTGGTGTTTTGCACCCTTGAGATAAACTAATAGCACTTTGCACCCTTGAAAATCGAAACATAATAAATCATGCGTAATGCATCCTGATTGAATTTTTAAAGCTAATAAAGATAATTGAATATTTTTAGTGGTAATTTTTTAGGATACCAAATATGAAATCAATTTTTTATTCACTAATCATTTTAAACCTAAAAAGTACTAAAGTAAAAATACATCTTATCAGTATATTTAAAATTTAAATTTTCTATCACAAAAATATATTTAAATAAAAAATTTTAAAAAAAAATATCAGCTGTTTCGTTATCAAGTTATTTTAAAACCATATTTTCTTCCAAATATTTCTACCTCGTATTTCCACCAATAATAATATAAGATCCATCAATTGAACAATTTATTGATAAAAATGAATTTTATTTTATTTTGTAAGAAACTGCAGTTTTTTTCAATAATCGAGTGTGATTTTTATTTTTTGCACTTGGTGCGCTCGAAATTAGGTTGAAGGTTGAAGAAAACAAAAATTTAATTTGTTAATTTGCGGGAAATAAAACAAAATAAAAACCAAAAATAATTGCATTTATTATTCAATCAAGGATGCATTTTATGAGTAATAATTTATTGTATTTCGAGAATGCAGGTGTTATTATTGTTTTCCAAGAGTGTAAATTGTTAAAAAGCTCCATTTCAAGAGGTTAAATTTCAATTGTAGTGATTTTTTAATTGGTTGATTTGCTGAAAAAACCCAGTTATTAATTTTTGCAAATAAAATAAAAAAATATCGAAAATAAAAAAATGGAAATAACATTAATTGAAATGAGGTTTTATTTTAGGAAGAGATTATAATAAATTCCTAAATTTGAGTGATTTGCATATCTACAAATTTTTTAATTCATTCAATTCAATAGGACAAATTTGATATTTTGCTATGAAAAAATTATCTCAAATATAGGATTTAAATTTAGACTTATTGTTCTACCGAAATTGATACGAGGGGTTTCGTAAATAGCCCCTTGATATAATGCACAAGTATAAGTGAATAAGAAACAGATTTTCTATCTAATTTCTCCTTTCATTTTACCGAAAATACCCTCGAAATATGAAATATGGACAGAATACTGCATTTTATTTAGGCCATGTTAATTGTTAAGGGACTCAAATTCCCAACAGCTTCACTTCAGAGGAGGGAATTTCCACCAAATCTCCCATGAAGCAACTGCACAAAAAATAAATGCCATATTAATTACTTTTGCTTCACTACTTAACAAGCAATAATAGATTAAAAAAAAAAAACAAAAAAAACTTAAATCAAACCACGAAAACAAAATTTAATTACGTTCGAGATGAAGTAGAGATTGAGCACAACAGCCGACTGAAAAACGAAGGTCATTTTGGGAGCGTTCGACCTCACCCCACGGAAGCCATGGAAATACGTGACAATAAGGATTATCGAAACAGTGGTAAGCAAATTTGTACTGCTCGGAGTATTCCGTCGATGATTCGCCTCTCGCAAAACAATCGCACCAACTTCAAATGCTTTCTGACTTACGCATTCACTGTTGAAAAAAAGAGCAATCTCTTAAGCAAAGGCTCGTATTCGTGTACAGAAATATCAGTGACTGTATACGGTATAATTAAGTAATAACAACCGCCGTACCAAATACTTGCTGCGATGAAGAGTGGAATGCCGGAGCACAGGCCGTATCCTTTCTGGAGAAGTTCGTCGAGGGAAATTACGATAACGCCACCAAAGCAGAGTTGCATGATTGTGAGAATCGCTTTACCAACTCCTAGCTGGCAAACACTGCCATACATTCCCGAGGAAACACACGCAACCGCCTCAACAACTACTATCAAGATACCTAACAACTCCCGAGCACCATTTCTGCTCGAGCAAGAAATGAAAATCATTAGGAAGACAAATCTAAAGCAAAAAAAAAAAAAAAAAAAAAAAACAGATAATCTTTCACATATTGGAAAAAAATTTATACAGTTTATCGATTTTTCAAAAATTAGCATATTGAACTGGTTTTTTAGGAGGACTGTTACTATTGATAAATTGAATCCTTGTTATTTTGTTTTACCTCAAACAATGTTAATTAATGTTCTTGCAAAGATTATATTCAAAATACGAAATACAATTCTTCCGACATTCCGCCTAACGAAGCCCTTACAAATTCATAGTTGAAAATGGGATTATATTAAGAAAAAAAAAAAGAAAAAAAGGCAATTTACGACCACCACCTGAGTTATGGTCAAATTACGAAAACCGCCCTCATGTTTGGGTAATTACAGCCAAACACTCAACTATGTATTACCTTACGGAAAAACCCCTCCAGAGCTAGGTAAATTTAGGGATGTTAAATCGGTAAACCTGAACCGAAATTTCGGTACGCACACCATTTACCGAACTGAATATAAGATTTGGTTTGGTAAATTATCGAATTACATAAATTTTATGTAAAAATATTTAAAAGGAAGGGGTGGCTGTAATTACCCAAACAAGGGGTTTTTTCGTAATTTGACCATACCTCAAGGGGTGCCCGTAATTTGGTAAAAAATTATGGAATCAAAGTAAGTGGAGAGATGAGCTAATTGCAAATGGATTGGTTTCATATTACATGAAGATCAAGCACTAATATCTAACTTGCCTACATATAACACTCAACGCTCGAGACTATATTAATGTTCCCGATCGATAGATAATGAAATGAATAATCAATCAAAGATATAAATCAAGCTATTTAGCCAAGAAAAAATCACACAACAGAAGGATTAAAACATTGAATATACTTACAAAAGTGCTCTGTTTTGTGGCACATTGTTATCGACATCGATGAACTTCGAGCCCGCTAAAAGTTCCGTAACAAGTCCAAGTGTCACTATCGGTGTGATTCCAAGCTCCATTACGGTGCCCCGTTTCGAAGCGAAGATAACACGCTTCCAATAGAACGGATCTGCACCAGTTGCCGAGTGTATGCCGTACAGTGGCAGATGACTGCACACTAGGAAAACGAAAAGGGATATTGCAGTGTATATAACCTTCTCTCTTAAGGGTACTTTTCTGTTTGCAGTCTCGACACCCGGCAGAAACGAAAGAAACAGTCGAACGAGATTCATCACCATTTTTTTTCTAGATCAAAGTTATCTCAATAGACCTGCAAAAATCACATTTTCAAAGCAAAATTAAACATTCACAAATCACAATCAACCTGCAAATATCACATTTTATAGCGCAATACTTGAGTAATTACTCGAACAAAGGCAACATATAAGTCTTCGATTCTTAATTGCCAGAATATTTCACAACTTTCGAAAAATTAGAAATTAAAATTCATCTGGTTTTCTTTGGTAATTTCAGAGAGTAATTCCCACATAGATAATCATACTCACCAAAGACGGCCTCTAATTTTTTTTACTGATGAAATCCATAATTTCTACGCATAAGTAAAACGGATGTGTTTTTATTCACAATTCACATGCAAAAAAAATAAAAATTCAGAAAATGATTAAACCACTACGTAAATGGAAAATCTACAGTTTCTGCTCTTATTGAAGACGAACTACACATATATGATAAATTTTAACCTAGATTAGCGGAAACCAGATTACGACACTAATTTCAGCGATAATCAGTGCAGTAATCGATAAACATTAAAATTAACAGAGATCCGTGTTTCGGAATACGATTTTTTCCCCCTTAATTTCATATTTCTCGATTTACGAACGAACAAAAAAAAAATAAAAAAATCAATTAATTGAAAATATCAACACGCACTCAGAGATTGAGAGAGGGGGAAGAAACATGCAGAGGAGAGAGAGAAAGAAGAATCTTACGAAGAGAGAATTCTGGGACGTGTAGCGAGATTTAATTAGAGGAACTGTTTGAAGTGTGTGTTATTTATACTTTCTGATTCATCCTCAAAATCATTTTTCTAGGCGGTCTTTCCAGAACATTCTGTAAACAATTTAATTAACCATCTTATATTAAAAAATATAAATGGAATAATATTCCGTATAAATTCCGAAATTAGTATCAGAGCAATAATTAATTTGATGTAACGATATGACGAGTAAATGAGTAATAACAAAAGCTATGATGTTGTAAGTCCACAAACGAGTGTACACGTGGATTAATAGTCTTTGACTCTTTTCTTTGCTTATTCAAATAAAGTGAAAGATTTTTCTTTTTTTGTATTTGTTATTTCTTGCTTTTTTTTTACCAAAAATATCACCAATATATCGGATATTTTGTTACCTTCTAATAAGATGGTATATATATATATATATATATATATATATATATATATATATATATATATATATATATATATATATATATGTACACTATCATATGGTGCACATGGTAAATGTATATTTTGGTATAATAACTTGCAAATTATAGAGGAATATAAGTTACACTGAACTAATTATGTGTGACAAATTCGATCCAACGACTGTTGACAAATGATTAATTGACATAAACTCTGTACTCCTACTGCTAGGTCATCTTTTACGGGGCAGTCTATTGGTATACTTGTGTTGCATATGCATGTAAACAAAAGTTTAATTTACAACCGTTTTTTCAGCCTTTTAATATATTATTAAGGATAAGTCACAACTACCCATGAGGTATGGTTAAATTACGAAACCCCCTATTGTTTGAGTAATTACAACCAATCCTTAACTATAAATTTTTTTACACGTCAACCCTTGCGGTTTCAATTTTAGTGGAATCTTCGAAATTATATGAAATATTATCACTTTTGTTCCCGTTTTATCCCATTCAAACTCAACATTTTGAAGTAAGATGATCAAAATATGTCTTTGACTTGTATATATCAGATTGTGATGCATCAAAAACTGTATTTTTACACAAATGAGTACAAACTAGAGCACATTCCACGAAATCTAAGTGATCATGTTGAATTTGACACCATGAGAGTGGATGTGTAAGAAAAAAATCATAGTTGAGGAGTATATATAATTATCCAAATAAGAGGGGTTTTTTCGTAAATTGACCATATGTCAGGGACAATTGTTATTTACCCCATTATTAATTATTAATGTTTTAATTTAACCATTTTCATATGCATTACATTTTACACATTTACGTACGTACATAAATATTTTCAAATATAAACACACAACAATCAATATATAAAGTATACACGATTCCGAACATCTTTCAAAATCCCTAGCTGCACCCAAATTCTAGAGAGAGAAAGAGAGAGCGCGCCAAAAAGTAGAAAATACAGAGATCCGATGGAGAAAATGGGAGATGATCGGCGAGCGGGGGAGGAACTCAAGTACAGGAATGCAATTCGATGCGCAAAAGTTGCGACTCTGCTTTCTTCACTCAGAAACGCCACAGCAAATTCAACCTCCAAAGCTCCCCAGCTTCAGGTTTTGTTTGCAAACACTACTGAGTGGTAGAAATAATAATCGGATGAAGTTTTATTTGAATTAATTTTTTTATTGAAAATTTGTTCATCAGCGGATTTATTATGCGATTTGGTTGAAGTATTTTTTTTCTTCTGAATTATGGATTTGGTTTATGCTTATCGGATGTGTTTCTAATCTCTGAATGTGTACGGTATACCTAGTTTATTTGAAGTAATTTTTAGTGAGAATTTGTTCATCAGCGGATTTATTATGCGATTTGGTTGAAGTATTTTTTTTCTGAATTGTTGATTTATGGATTTAGTTTATGCGTATTGGATGTGTTTCGAATCACTGAATGTGTACGGTATACCTAGTTTATGAAGCATTTCAGTTTTCCCTCTCTGCTAAATAATATGCGTTGAGAACTGTTGGTTAATGGATTTAATTTTATGGATATATTTTTGGCTTGAATATTTTATATGTTCTGTTTCGAAATTATCTGTGAGAATTGTTGATTCGGAGATCGAATTTTCGGTTTCTTCAGTTTGAGTTCGAATGTTCTACATGTTCAACAAAACCACGAGATACATGTTTATGAATGAAAAGATAATCAGAGCTGATATTAATTATTAGGTTTGGCATAATAGTAGCATACTGTATTGTTGGTTTCAGGATGAAGGCAAAGTTGAGATGCTGAAGATACAGTTGGTGAAGAACAAGATGAAGATGAAGAAATTGCAGCGTTGGATTGGAATGTCGCTGCTCGTTTATTTTGTGTTTCTTCTAATTTTCCCCTTTGTCCTCAATTTCACCCTAGACTGGCTATCTAGCATTTGATGCAAATTGAATTATTGCCATTTTCACGCAATATCTCGACTATGTTGTTGTAGGTTCTCTTTTAATTAGATATAGGAAGTTGTCTCTCGTGTTAAATTTTGGAGGTTCAGATACTTTGTAGATCAGTTCTGATGCTGTAAAAGAAAACTTGCCGAGAGTTTATGGTTATTGTATTTCCTTGTGTAAATGAAATTGCAATGTTTGTATGAGATGTTGATGCCCAAAATTGCCCCCGCTCTCTTTAATATTGCATGTTAGAGCAAATTGTTTCATGCATGAGCCGTACAGGTCAGTTTTTGTTAAGTGGTGGTTCGAGTTGTGGGTCCGTTGGTACCTTCAGGTGTGCATTTAAAGGTAATGCGCCCCCCTACATATTTACAGACTTATATATCAATTATGAAACCATCTGATATAATGCATGGAGTATGTATTATTTGTACAACACTGGGATAGCTATTGTCAATTGTGGTGCAGTATTAACATGCAAGCGGTACAAAGACGGGAAAGAGGCGAAAGTTAGATTAAAAGGGCTGCGGAGCGGTGATCACCATCAACATTTTTTGGCTGCCATGTTATAAAGGTATCCCTATATTCGTTTTTTTTTTCCTAGTTAGTTTATTGATGCTTCAGTTCAACTAGATAATTGATGATTGAAAATTACAATCTACCTGTTTGTCATAGTTCTAAATTGGGTTGCAAGCATGTTTGAAGGACTATGATAATGATGACATAGTAAATGGGAAATGCGGAGAGAAATGGATGTAAGTAGGTGAGAGTCTGTACACCAATAGAGCTTGGTGAAAAAGTATTTGTGACTTGTGATTAAAAGATTTACAAAAGATTTTAAATATCGCCGAGTTCCATCATTTTCTTGGTACATAGGCGATGGTTGCAGGGCAGGGGTTTATAGGTGTTGGAGCTAAGGGGATAAAGTGTTTGGTTCTTTAGTGCATCGGGACCAGATGAAGGCACTGTTAGTGTCAAACAACAACCTCACCTCCTTGCTCGGAGTGCCTATTTTGATGTTCACCGAGTAACGGAATTCAGGGTGGTGTATTGGAATCTGGATTTTGTTCTCATTAACTGTTGCATTTATTTTGTGTGGAAATCTGATAGATTTTTTTATTTTTGTGAAGTGGTATGAGATTTCCAAGATACAGAGGCGAATCAGGTGGACCCCACGGGACGAGCTTTAGGTTGAGCCCTCGGATTACTGGTGTATTGCTGTGGAATAATGCCAGCAAGAGAAGGGTGAGGTAGAGATTTCTTGTGGCCACGTGGATATGAATGATAATAATATCAACTTTTTATAGGTGTAATTTGATTATCACAGAAAAAATTGCATGATTTGGGTGCTTGCTTTTGTCTTTTTGGTAAAAAAAAAATTCATTTCAATTTTGGAAAAAAGGTTTACATGGATTTTCTTCCCGTCTGTCTATTCTCCTTCAGTTTAATGTTAATTCCATCTCAACAAGTGTAGATAACTCCTATTGATTATGCTTGGATAACGAGCATATATAAAATGAATACGTGGCACTTTTCCCATTTAGTGCAGTTTGCACATTGCAGTTCTATGATTAAGGTACATAAGGCATAGTACAATTATGATAAGGTCTATCTTAACATAATCTAGTTCACGTTCCCTGAAAAAACGATAAAAATGTAGTGGTGCTGATTACCTTGCCTATATGTCTAACACAAAAAAAAAATGTTTGATGCTGCCTCTTCAGAGGGTCTACTGAATGTGTCATGTTCATAACAGTGTTTGATATTATTATTTTCTTTCCAAGAATTCATTTTCGGCAATTAGATTTGCATGCATAACTATTAGTAGAAAAATACGCCCTTTAGTAAACCCGATTCATTTTTTAGTTTAACCAGCGCAATTATCCTTGTAAAACTTGAGCACATTCTGATTGATATCAAAGATAAACTTGGTGTTCCATTGCTGTAGTGCCCCAATTACGGTCGTTTTCCCCAATGCCACTGCTGTGCATGCAACACCTATATTCCTGTCTACTGCATGCGTATACTCTGCTTCAAAGTCCGCCCCTTCAAAATGAAAAGTCATGGTAGGAAAGTCGTCGTAACCAGGTTTCAGCGTATAGCAAGATTTCAAATCCCAGTATTCCCCGCCAATCTTTTTCAGTTTGCCTTTGAAGTAATCTTGATACGCTCGGTTCACCTTATCATATGCTCGTTTAGGAAGGATGGTATAACGGACCCCCGTGCCCATATAAACACCCCCGTTTTTTAGTGAAAACAGAGTTGGAGACAGTCCCAGTTTCCGCCCGTTGACACTTATGTCTAATAAATCCAAGAAATAGGTCGAATAATCAGTGTATATAAAAGGGGTAATTTTTACTTTTTTCCCGCTATCTGAAATATCTTTCCCTAATGTTAGATAACTATCTCCCGAGTGCAGGCAGTAAGAAAACCGCCCTCCAATTTTTTTCCTCAGCTGGCTTACTAGAGAAACTGGTGATCTGTCCAATCCTAGGATTCCAGAGAGATTGAGTGGTTGCTGAGTTGAGCAACCGAAAACAATATCGTTTTTCGATATTTCATCAGAACCAGGTATTTGGATTTTACCAATAAAACCTTCTACTCTATACTTGTAACCTTTTGTTCCATAGGCAATGGTGCAAACACACTGTTTTTTGACGCATTTGCAAAGCTGCCTATCGCAAAGTCGATGGTTACATGGCAGTTTTTTGTATGTGTTGATCTTGGATGATAACGGTGTGAATATCCAAGAGCATTGACCCCACATGTAGCTGCCGCCAGTGTCAACTAGCAGTTTCTGCTCAGTGCCTGAAGGGCCAATTTTAACACTCACTGAGTAGTGGTAGTTTTGTTGGTGCTCTAATGGAAATCGAATCACGTCCAATTTCGTTGCAGAATTTGGATGATCAGCGGTTTTTAGTTGGTGTAAAGAGGTGTTGGTTGTTTGATAATTTTGAAGCGGGGCGAGATTTTCACGGTACAAAGGCGAATCAGGGGAGTCCCAAGGGATGAGCTTCAGGCGAAGCCCTGTGGCTTCGAACGCCACCAAGAGGAGGAAGAGAATTCTGGTAAGAAAAACTTGCTCCCTTCCCATCTTTCTTATGCTATGATGAATTTATGATAGTTGGTTTCTTACATGTTTATATAACACTCTGCATGCTCTATGACAATAAATAAAGATAAAAAAGAGTGAATTTTATCAATATTTAATCAAGTCCATATCTCTTGTTGATGTGATAATCTTGATATTGAGGAAAAGTAGTGTTTGATTATCTCCACTTATTTTCGGAACTTGCTTTTTCTTTACATGCCACTACTTTTAGTTATGGGCTTATTGAATGTGATTTAAGAGTCATGTAACATTTATTTTAATTTACTTTCTAATTTAATGATGGTAATCCTTACTTTTTTCTACAGAGTGCACTAAATCCAAATAGCTTGGAAAATGAAAGTCTAACTACATTTGATCTTAATTGTTTAGAGGGCTCATGCTCGGAAATTAGTGGTATTTTTTAGGTTCTTACAGAAAAAAAAATAATAATAATTAAAAGATGGTTAGTCCATGGGGTATTACATTTCCATATAAATTATTTCCACAGAATTTGTTGGCTTGACTTTGAAAATTATGTAAAATCTCATTTAGAATCCGATTTAAACAATAGAAACTTACGATCCCCAGCCCTACTTTCAGTTAATGTATTGAATATAATTGATTAAATAATTTGATATTTTATGTTTGGTTACTTGAATAGTTTTTTCAGGCCGGCCCGCTATTCGGGGAAGATGAGTTCTTATCTCTGCTCATTAGGAGGTTGTGTGTTGAAGCTACCCTAGTTTACATTGCCATTTAAAACAAAAAAAAAAAAATAGTTTTCAAATCAATTTGGACAACTTTACTGAATTCATTATCTCTTGTTGGAAAATTTGCTTGTAATAGTTTTCTAGTTGTGTCCAGATGAAGGTGCTGCCGGTTTCAAAGAGCAACCAAACCTCGTTGCTTGAAGTGCCGATTCTGATGTTCACAGAGTAACGGAAGTCTAGGTAGGAAGCATATGTCTCGTTCTCAAACAACATTAAGACATCAGATCACTAATTTCTATTCATAAGCCACAAATTTATTTTCGGCAGATTACATTTGCATGCATAACTACTTGTAGAAAAAAAGAAAAAAAATTCATTCTTCAGTTTTAACCAGCGCAATCATCCTTGTGAAAGTTGAGCACATTCTTATTGATATCAAACACGAACCTCGTGTTCCACTGCTGTAGTGCCCCGATTACAGTACTTCTCCCCAAAACCACTGCTGTGCACGCAACACCTATTCTTCTGTCTATCACATGTGTGTACTCCGATTCAAAGTCAGCCCCTTGGAAATGAAAAGTCATTGTCGGAAAGTCGTTGAAACCGGGTGTCAGCCTGTAGCAAGGCTTCAAATCCCAGTACTTCCCGTTAATCTTTTTCAGTTTGCCTTTGAGTTTGAAGTGATCTTCAAACTTTTGGTTCACCTTATCGTATGCTTGTTTAGGAAGAATGGTATAACGAACCCCCGTATCCACGAAAACACCTCCGTTTTTCAGTGTAAACAGGGTCGGAGACAGTCCGAGTTTCTTCCCGTCGACACTTATGTCTGTCAAATTCAATAAATACGTCGAATAATCAGTGTGTATGAAAGGAGTAGTTTTTACCTTTTTTCGACTTTCTGAAATGTCTTTGCCTAATGTAAGGTAGCTATCTCCATTGTGCAGGCAGTAAGAAAACCGGCCGTCGGTTTCTTTGCTCAGCTGTTTTACTAGAGAAACTGGTGACCTGTCCAATCCTAGGATTCCGGAGAGATTGAGGGGCTGCTCTTTCGAGCAACCGAAAACCATATCCGGTTTGGATATTTCAGAACCGGGGATATGGAATTTACCAATAACACCTTCTAGTTTGTACTTTACACCTGCTGATCCATAGGCGATGCTGCAGACGCACTGGCTCTTGACGCATTTGCAAATCTTTCTAGCGCAGAGTCGATGGTCGCACGGCAGTTTCTTGTACGGTTTCGAAGCGCATTTAGCCCAAATGTAGCCGCTGCCAGTGTCGACCAGCAGTTTCACATCAGTGCCTGGAGAGCCGATTTTGACGTTCACCGAGTAACGGTAGTTCTTCTGGTGCTCTAACGCAAATTTCATTCCATCAAAATTCGTTGCAGAATTTGAATGATTAGTGGTTTCTAACTGGTGGGAAGAAGTGTTGGCTGTTTGATAATTTTGAATCGGGGCGAGACTTTCACGGTACAGAGGCGAATCGGGGGAGTTCCAAGGGATGAGCTTCAGTCGAAGCCCTGTGGTTTCGAATGCCACCAAAACGAGGAAGAGAATTCTGGTAAGAAATTTTTGCTCACTTCCCATTTTTCTTATGCTATAATGAATTTACGATTATTGGTTTCGACAAGCTTTATACAACACTCTGCATGCATGCTCTGTGTTACAATAAATAAAGATAGAAGATTGATTGTATCCATATTTAATTAAGTGCATATCTCTTGTTGATGTGATAACTTTGATATCAATGAAAAGGTTACTGTTTGATTATCTCTACTTGTACATGCCACTACTTGCAGTTATGTTATTTTACTTCGTTGTTTATTTGATTTGCCGTGAAATTTTATGAATCGAAAAAGCTTAGAAAACGAAAGTACAACTATACGTGCGCTTTTATGTGTAGAAGGGCTCCGTGATCCAATTTATTGCATCCTTGGATATTCGGAGTTCACTCGAAGATTCTGGATTTTTGT